GCAAGGTTAGGTATACACTTCTGCAAGGTTAGTTTTATCATGTTGCATTAGTAGTATGTTGTTGCTAGGCTAGCTTTTTGTTGCTGCTAGATTAGTTTTATATAGTTGCAATGATAGTTGTATGTTCTTCCTGGGTTAGTTATCTTTTCCTGCTAGGTTAGTTATGTACCTCTGCAAGGTTACTTTTCTGATGCTGCAATGTTAGTTGCAAGTTTACTTATATCTATTTAACATTTTTTTTTTTTTTTTTTAACTCAGTTTAATTTGAAGAAATCGTTATGGAGCCTGGTGATGAAGTTTTTTTGCTTACTCATCCATCATCTGGCAATCCATCTCGTAAACGGCAGTCTGATGATAAACTTCATTTCCCAAAGCTGTCAACACGATCTCCTGCAAAAACTTTGGTTGAGTCAATTGCTAAATTAAATGATGAACAAAAGACAGTTGTAGAAAAGATGGGTTTTGGATACTTGCTGCATTTTGAGATTAAGGAGATTCCAAGCAATTTAGCTTTCTGGGTGGTGGATAATTTTGACCCGGTTAACTCTGTCTTGCATTTTTCGGAGGGGAACATCCATATCGAAACTGTTGATGTGGAGAAGGTATTAGGCTTCCCAAGAGGTGATAAGCCTATTCAATTAAAGACAAAATCTGAGACTTGTGAACTGTTGGATAACTGGAGGAGTCAGTTTGCATCATCTTCTGAGAGAATCACTCCTGAACACGTGAGCCAAAAAATGTTGCAGTGTAATTTTGATGACGGTGGTCAAATGTTCTGCTGTAACTTTGCTGTCTTGGTGGATGCTCTTATAATCAGTACTATCAACTCTGCTGGTTATGTCAACCCTCTTTTCATGAAGTCGGTTACTGACATAACATGTGTCTCCGATTTGAATTGGGCTGACTATACTCTTCAAAATTTGATTGCTAAAAAACTGAAATGGGATGAAGGCAAGAAGAGTAGTTTCAATGGGCCTTCTTTTCCTTGTGGTAAGAATGTGATTTAATATTATTCTTAAACAATTTATATTCCATGTTTTTTTTATATATATATATATATATAATTTTTTTTTTTTCATAATACAGGTTTTATACGTTGATCGGCTAGTGTTTATATCGTGTGAGGTTCCAAGGAGTCTTCCCTCCTTTATTGGTTGGAACTGCGAGTTGTTGCGCAAGAGATCCATTGCCGAGGCGAAAAAGGGTGGTTTAGTGCAAGGTTAGTTTCATCATGTTTGCAATGTTAGTTGTACATTGGTGTTAGGTTAGTTGCCAGTTAGTGCAAGGTTAGTAGTCTGTTGTTGCTTGGTTAGTTCAATGTAGATGCTATGTTTCTGGAACAACACTATGCAGCAGCAACACATCAAAATTCATATAGAAGTGTTTATTACAAGGAGATATGTCACTCACTAGTCTTATTACAAGTTCTACCATTATGATTTCCCACTTCTCCACATTTTCCACAACGTCTTTTCAACTTTTGACTTTCTTTGATGGATTTTTCTCTTTGTGACAGAAGCCGCTTTTAGTCGTGCTTCCATTTCCCTTGTTCTTTGCTTGCTTTGGTGGCAGAATATCAACATCAAGATTCGAAACGGATCCACAGAATTCTTGTATCACAGCTTCTTTGCTTAGGATTGAACTTGAAACCTGATGTGCCCCCAACAAATGGTTCTTTTCTTCATTTATAATCTTGGACAAGTGTTCCAATTTGTCCTTGCTACCTTCAGCAAGAGATATGCAAAAATAAAAATCAGACCACAGACTGTTTAGATATGCATTTCTCTGATTTTTTCTGTCGAGTGGATTAAGTCTTGCGTTATCAATCCCATGTCCAGAAGAAGAAGCCTTCAGCCAACGGTTGAGGAGGTACTTCTATGGTATTCTCTCTAAATCCTTCACTAGCATAATTGTGTGACGACACAATAATCCAAACTGCTGAAACATTTTGCAGCTGCAATCCACCAAATCCCCACACTTATTAACAATGAATTCGACCCCATCTCGACCAACTTCTACAACTTTATATCTGGTTGTTTCATCCACCTTTTCAATATGCACAGTCACACATTTAAAACATGCTGCTTCAATCTCCATTTGCACCTCCGAAAACACTGTTTTCGTGTAAACTTTCGCAACATGTTTTTCAATTTGTAACAGTGTCTTGCACTCAGGAGGTGCATTCACACATTCATGATCCAGCTTGCTTATACCATGCCTTTGTGCATCCACTGCACTTTCAAAATGCATAAAGAACTCAACTAAGTTTGCACTTTTAGATTTGTAACTTCCGAACCAACTATTAACACTCTCAGACCTAGAAGTTGTTTTCAGTAGGCCACCCATTTTGACATCCTTAAAGTATGCAGGGATCCATGAATTTCTAATATGAAATAGTGTGGTAAACCACTGATTCTCTGTTAATGCAAAATCATTCATCAATTTTCCCCATTTTTCTTCAAATTCCTCGGGATTCATGTAAATATCCCACACCATTTCATTTTGCCTCTTCATGAAGTTATTATCCTTGGCTAATGTAGGAACCTCTACATTTACCTTTTCCATGATATGCCACATGCACAGACGATGTCTTGCCTGTTTAAAAGTCGCCTGAACTGCATTCTTCATAGCAGGATCTTGGTTAGTGATAATGTAATATGGTTCACTTCCCATAGCTTTCAAAAAATTTTCCAATAACCTAATGTATGATGCTTCATCTTCTTTAATCATTAACCCAGCTCCAAATGTGACACACTTTTTTTGGTTATCAATTCCCGTAAATGGTACAAACACCATTTTGTACCTGTTCAAAGATAGAAAGCAAATCAGAACAAAAAATGAAACTGCTAAATAATATAATACTTGCTGCTAAGTTAGTTGTCCAGTGGTGCTATGTTAGTTGTATTTTGTTACTAGCTTAGTTGTATGTTGTTGCTAGGTTGGCTGTCTGGTGGTGCAAGGTTAGTTGTCTGGTGGTGCTAGGTTGGTGCTAGGTTAGTTGTCTGGTGGTGCAAGGTTAGTTGTCTTATGTTGCTAGGTTAGTTATGTATCTCTGCAAGGATACTTTTATCATGTTGCAATTGTATGTTATTTCTAGGTTAGTTTTATATGTTGGTGCTAAGTTAGCTGTCTGTTGGTGCTAGGTTAGTAGTCCGTTGTTGCTAGGTTAGTTAACTATAGCTGCTGGGATAGTTATCTGTAGCTGCTAGGATAGCTGTCTTTTATTGTTAGGTTAGTTGTATGAAGGTGCTAGGATAGTTATATATCTCTGCTAGGTTACTCTTATCAAGTTGCAGTGATAGTTGTCTTTAGTTGCTAAGTTAGGTCTCTGCTGGTGCTAGGTTAGTTCTCTGCTAGTGCTAGGTTAGTAATCTTTTGTTGCTAGGTCAGTTATATCTAGTTGTAAAGTCAGTTTAATTCACAAATTACATTACATATAAATCAGATTCAAGTCAAGGGAAACGATTGTGTACCTGTTAGTGTTGTAGGTTGCATCAAATGAAACAACATCCCCAAACATGAGGTAATTTCTTTTTGAAATTTGGTCTGCCCAAAAGATTCGGCTTAATTTTTTCTCTTCATCCACTGCATATTAAAATGTAATGTCCGGGTAAACTTCTTGCTTGCTGAGAAATTTTTGTACAATGACTTGTGCATCTGCCCCTGACATGTAAGCCATAAGATCTCTTTTGAAGTTTTTGAAATCCACTGCCAGAGCACCAAAATTTTCATATCCTCCAACCATTTCTTTGAACAACCTGTGTGTTTTAGCCATTCCAATGTTGGCTTTTACACAATTTAGGACAAACTTCTGGTGGCCATAATTCAATTGCCTATTTGCATTCAGATAATGTGCTTCTAATGTCAGACTGTGGCAATGTTTTTCTTCAAAGCATGTAATTTTGTATCCTTTTCCATCATCATATTCAAACACTGCCCGAGCCATGAAGCCAACTCTTTTTGAAACACGTTCTCGTTGAACTCCTCCTCCTTGTGGATTATTTGTCCTCGACTGTGGTTTAAATCCTTCTCTAATGCAAACTATGAGCTGTTTTCTGACCATCCCACTTCTAAAACGTTTGTTCAAGCTAATACGAACATCAAATCCACCGTTTGCTCCATAGTTTCTGTAATATTGCAGTCCAGTTTCAAGGGTTTCAAAGATCAAGCCAACTCTGGGCTTTATATCTT